GTTCAGGAACCTAACTGGTTTTTTCCTCTGAGAATTCAATTTCTAATATTATTCTTCACCTGAGAACGCTAGTCCCTAATTTTATCCTACTGACTTTTTTTTCTTTGTTGACAAAGCTCTCCATCAATCCTAGTCCACAGCCTCTGCATCAACACTCAGTGAACTGGAATACAAACGTGAAGCGAGCCCTGAAAAACTCAGCCATTGAGACGGTCTTAAAATGCTGGGCCGCAACAGCACATCCGGGCAGAGCCCTGCCGGGGAAAGCGGGTCCTGCTGCCAAGAAAAGCAGAGAGAGACCACAAATTGCTACCAAACCACTCCAAAATGTTCTCGTCTTTCCAACAGCCCCAAAAAGATAAACTTCCCCAAGCCCTAGGGATCCAAAGTATTTCACTCAAAATTTTCACAGGATACTAAAGAAGGACAAAAATTAAGACAGGAGTGAAGATATAAGTGTCTTGCTTCTTTGCATCTTGCACTAGCTGTCAGCTTCCTTCTTTTAACTCCCCTCATCTTCATTTAGGACAATTCTCTGTTAGAACAACATGCCATTGGGTCAGTGCAATGAGACTCAAGGTCTCCACTCATGTCCAGGTTAGGACAACAGAAATGATGAGTTGACCTCACTAATCATCCCTAGTGCACATTCTAGGAATTCACGGGGTTGCTATATGCAGTGTGGTCCTGGCAGTGCCCTCTCACCTAATTCTCCCAGCCCCCCAGGTGGCCACACACTACGGGACTCCATTTCCAGCCTCACATTACACCACTCTCCTCCTCAGGCTTTCCCCTGCAGCCTTACTGGGTTTCTAGAAGTTCCTCAAATATGCCAAGAGCCCTCCTTCTCAGTGTCTTTGTGCATGCTCCTCTCTGTCTACAATGCTCTTACCCACTCCCCACCCTCTATCTAGAACTCAGCTCCTTGTCAACTCAGCTGTCAATTCCTCAGGGAGGCAGCCTTTGACTCCATCCCCTCCAGAATAAACCAGTTACCCTGCGATACAGTTTTATAGCATGCTATACTTTCCTTCCTAGTGCTTATTATGATTTCTAACGATGCACGTATTTCTCGATTATATGACGAAGAGCAAGCACCAAGCCTATTTTGTCCCTCTTTCGTATTCAGTCCTTGGCAATCAATAAATTTTGTTGATGAATGAATGACAGGTAGAAAAATCAATAAACTCACAATTCTTGATGGAATTCAGGATGGAAGAGATTTTATTGACTCATATTGTGATATAAGAGGTAAATGTGAAAGGCCCATTAAGTTTTGAGTAGGAGATGAATTCTGACAGCATGAAAATTCTTAAATCCTAAAGAACTGTCAAGATGCATATGCAAATCCCATACCCATAACTCCAGAGGGCAATGGGTATTATGCTGGGAAAAAAAGATGGCTGTAAATTTCCTGCTTGTCCAGCTGAGTGTGTCCCTTTTAATAAGTCCTGCCTGTTCTGTACTCCCTCTCCCCCCAAACACACACACACACATGCAGATAGGGAAAAAATCACTGTCAGCCCTGGCACTTTGTCTCAGAACTCACCCAGACAGCTCCCACTTACACAGTCCCATTGCTCCTTGCTCTTGGCCTTCTTGGTTCTTCTCACTCATGGCCCGCATTTATTTCTGCCCATCCTTTCCAGTTATTGCCCTCACTGCACAGATTGCCAAACTTACTTCCACATGCTTGGACCTCAACAGCATTCTAAAACTTCCCTTCCTCCCTCCACCCCTCATAAGCTTTCTCAAAACTGGTTTCTTGATCTCCAGTCTCCTCCTCCTGAAGAACAACAACAAAACCACCACCACCACAACAGCAGCCAGTATTTGTAGAGTGCAATGGGTCAGCCACTCTTCTACATACTTAACTCATGCATGCATTATCTCACTGAATCTTTGTGTCATTTCACTTCCATTTACAGATGAGGCACCTGCGGGGTAGAAATCGAGTGTCATGCTTACGGTCGTGTGAATATGAGCTCAGGCTGGGTCTTCTCAACACTGCCTCTTCTAGCACAGCCAGCCTGAGGGGCTCTTCTAGAATTCCACTTCTATCCTTTCATTCTCCTGGAAACATCAAAATGAGCTTGATATTTGCAAATGGGCAATAAGAAGCCAAATCACTAATTTCAGTATTTGAGATCCACCACCAATTGGCCTCACCTTGACTGGCCTTGCCTGGGCTGGCCAACCTGACCTGTCATTGTACCCAAGAGTTCATGCTGGGAAATAATCGGCCCTTCTCCAAGCCAGCCCACTTCATGCTTAATCTTATGTACTTTCCAAGCTCTTTCTGTACTTACAGTATCCTACTTCCTTCCCATCCACCTCTCCAAAGACTCAGTTGAAGTTCTAACCATCCTGTGAATGACAAGTTAACTGAAAATGCTGACCTACTGGGACTGCCCCTTCCTCTCACTTCCTGTTGGAGTTTATGGAAGAGAATACAGTGTGAGTTGCCCACTCAGTTATTCTTGAAAGTCCACTTGATGTGCAAACCTGGCCACTCCCAGAGGAAGTAAGAGTCTTGCCTAAATCATATAGACCTTACTTAAACAAACATGGGCTTCTGTTTGTCCTCGTGCATTGCAGTTTGTCCTTGCTCTGCCAACTTCACATCCAGCTTTTCTTCCCAACTGCTGGCCCAGTTGATTTCAGGTCCAACAGCAGATGCAAAGGCAACAGCCTTGCACAGACTTCTCCAGCAGTGCCCACAATTGTATATCAATTGTGTACTACAATCCCTTATTCTATGTGACTCTTAGAAGTTCTGATTCTCTGAAAAACCTCTGACTGAAATACACTCCCGATTTCCAGCTGAGAGGAGATCTCTCATCCTTAGAGTTCTATTCTAGGATGCAAGGCCCATGTTATGAAAGGAGAAGGATGACATTCCTACAGCGCCAGATATGGCCAAGGGACAGGCTCGTGTCTGACTCTCTAGTCCTGACCTGGAGTCTTAGGTGAGTGTGGCTGAGAGCTTGCAGCCCACGAGAGCAGTGCTGGGGTAGGAAGATCTGGGGGGTTGCGGGCGGATGACCATGCAGCTATTAACCAAGCACCCTGAAGTGGTGTCACCAGGATTTGGGGCCAGATTCAGCTTCTGAGGGGATCAACGTCATAGGTGAGATGACATAAATGTGAACCAAATCTCAGTGGGGAGGCAAGGATGGGAAAATGACACGAAGTGGTAAAGAGGATGTCCAGAAAGCAGGGAACATGATGGTCCAGGTGAGGGATCAGGCCAGAATTAGAGCCTGGAGAACACGAGCGTGGGCACCCATGTGAGACATGCCCATAGAGGCAGGTGTGGAGGCTGTGCGGAGCCATGCCCACCCGGGCAGCCCTGCCCCGCCAGGTACTAGAGGCACCAAACTATATCCCGTGTACTATGACCACTGCTTTACACAATATCTCACTGAACTCGCACAGCTCCCACAAAAGACAGATTTTATTACAGTCGATAAAACTGAGGCCTAAGGTCACTTAGAAAAGAAGTTGAAAGACAAGAATTTGAATTTAGATCTTTTTGATCACACTTCTGTTACATCTTTCAAGATCCAAGCTCTCTAAGCTTAAAAGAAGAAAAACTTTTGCGCCACCTGATAACCTTTGTCAAGTCCAATGCTCCAGCCCCAGTGAAGACCTCAGATGACAGCAACCTCATGTCAACCTCAGCTCCCCAGTTCCCGACCCACTGAAACTGGGAGAGAATACGTTTCTTGTTTTAACCCACAAAGCGTTGGATGCTTGTTACTCAGAAGTTGATAACTGATGCATTGTTCTTAGATTAAACCATGAGGATGCGGGGGCAGGGGGGGGGTGGCGAAAGGAGGAGGATGTGCCTTACAGAAAGCTCCAAGACAGCCTGACAAAAAGAGGAAGTACCAGAAATTCTCCTCTGGCTCAGGGAATTATGTAAAGACACAGAGATGGGGAGGCAGGTTGGGAGACAAATGTGTCCTGACCTCCCATCTTGGGGCTAAAGTCTTTCAGGTCGAAGTTCTCTCTGATAGCTTGAGGAAGGCTAAGGCTCCTGTTTCGGTCTGTAGGGGACGAATGTCTCCCAGGGTGCCCTGTACCAACTCTGGGCTCTCAGCCCTCATGAAGTACAGAAAAGACAAAGAAGTTCCCATAAGCCCCCAAGGGACGAGGGGAGGTCACTGAGAGTCTGGCTGGGTAGCAGCCAGAGAAGGTTGTCACTGTGCAGTGAGACTGAGTGACCCAAACCAGGGTCAAAGAGGAGTCACCCCCACATCTCAGGAGTACCAGTGCCAGCCAGAGCTGAGGAGGAGCCACGTGAGCAGGGAGGACCTCTGGGCCCCAGGGAAGCAGGGAGAACCAAAAACCAGCAGGAACCAGTCCTACTGGGTCCCAGTGCTTGAAGTCACTTAATCCTCCATAGCACCATCTTGGAGAGGAGGAAACTGGTAAGGAGAGCAGGGAAGAAAGGAGTGAGTGAGTCCCCTAAAGAGAGAATGTTACTGAAAAGATGTCTTCAGAGATTGGATTGGATTGAATTCATTTTTTTCCTCCAGCATCCAGTGGGAGCCAGGGTTGGTGCTTGAAAGGAAAATCACATAAATTATAGAAAACAGTGAAGTTACCGTTTCTTGGCATATCTCAATCTAGTATGAGCAACAGGTGATTCTAATTCAGACACTATGAAACTATGTCAAAAGACTGAGGGAGGTTCCAAGTAGGGTTTGCTGCTAGATCTAGAACATGAGAACCAGAGGGGACCCCAGAAATCACTTAATCTCTGGTATTTTCCTCTGTTTGTGCCTTATCTGATGGCACCCATGTCCTTCCTCCTCCAGCCCATGATCCAGCAAACTCCAAGTACCGCAAAGATGGCATCACTTTGCCATATGCATTATTTGGGAATTATAACTTTAGGATCTATTTTAAGGGGCTGTCACCAAGCCATTGGCCCCAACACACATAATCCAGAGAAGCAGCACTCAGGAATCAGAGCTGTAGCATATTTGTTCTGTAGGTCAGAAGGCAACCCTCGTTTTATTAAAACGTGTACAGGGAATTGGGAAGGAAAAGGACCACACAGTGTGACAATGTACACAAAAGCCAACGCCACATCCAAGCTCCACTGTCCTGGGCTGTCCCACAGGCAGCTCTTCGGAACTTGGTCAGGCTGGACCTGGAAGACAGCTCACGAAGCCCAGATCTCCTGGTCAACCCTCTCTGGATCAGAGCTGACTATGACATTCACACCACTGAAGGGTGGGTGAGGAAGGCCACCAGGTTGGTTGAATGGGGACATTTTCTTTGCTACTCATTATAGTCTTTTTTGAAGAAACTCAGTTCTTGCAAGCAGCTCCGGTGTCTTCCAAATGGTCCGAGCAGTCAAGAAGGCAGTGGCCTACCAGAGCTTGAGCTCCATTCATCCTCCACAGAGCTTTGTCCCTGCAATCACAAGCCCTGGCCCAGCCAAATTCACGGGCAGAGTCACACTTCAGGTCCACATTGCCTCGTGCAACACATGTTCGGATGGACGCTTCTCAACGCGCATGAGGCTCATTTCATGTTTCTCTCGATCCAGTCTTTAAAAGGCAGCACTTTGGTAAAGGCCGTGTAGAGGCTGTGGCTGCAGGTTTTGTCGTAGCTCCAGCTGACCAGCCCCACCAGGTGCCAGCGCGGCTCAGGAGACGCCCGTCCCGGGAAGGACACAGCCGAGATGCCCCCTGTCTCCGCCGTGCAGATGTTGGAAGGAGCGGTGGGGTCCCGGCCGGCACAGAACATGTTGTCCGTGACGCTCACCGGGATGCCGTGGTCTTCATGCTGCTCCTCACACAGCAGCGAGTCCACCACCCTGACCACCCCCGAGCGCAGCGTGTCATTCTTGAAGCCGGGGCTCCTCACATCTGCCAGGACGTTCCAGCCGGCCACGGTGATGCGGGCCTCCTGGAAGGAGGTGCTGAGGTCCCGAGGGGCCGCGAGGCAGATGGGCTGGATGCGAGTGCTGATGCGAGCCTTGTCCAGGAGCTTCAGGACGGCGATGTCAGCATCCAGCAGGATGGGGTCGTAGTTGGGATGCAGAATGATTGCAGAAATCTACAAATGCAAGGAACGGACAGCGATGGTGAGGAGCCACCTCCACGGTGAGCAAGAAGAGGCAAGCCCTGGGGCTAAAGCATCAGAAGATGCTAGGAGACAGCTGCAATTATTGGAAGATACTTTGCTCGAGGGATCATACAAAGCGATTGCTCTATTTCCAGGGCAGCAAACTGAAATGCTTATTTGGCCTGGCAGGTGGTGTGAAATAAGTGAGGTGGACAGGTGAGGCTGCAGAGAATGAGTGTGCACACCCCACCTAAGGTGGGCAGTGGCCGCTCTGCTGCAGCTGACCACTGCCACGCAGAAATGGGGCCAGCATTCCAACTTTGCCGGAGAACGTACTCCAGATCTTGATCGGAAACCTCCTGATTTTTCAATGTTGGCAAATAACTGATTAAAAAATATATGTCAGCACTATCAAAACGCAAACCTCTACAGGCTACCAGTTTGTGACCTCTGCCCACTGTAAACATTTCGTTTACCCTCAAGCCAGTAAGATAGAACCATACCCAGAATGTTCCACAAGACTATTGCACAAAGTCTTCCCTGATTGTCCCCTATCCTTGCTGATCATTCTCTTCGATGGGGGCCTCTAGGAGCTTACATCTGTGATACTCTGTAACATCTTTATGTACAGGTTCTATTATTTCAACTACATTTGGGCCCATTTCCTCAGAGCTTCTCTTGTTTCAAATTAATCACAACATACTGGTCTGTGTCTTCCACTAGCCTGTGGACTCTTCAGGGCAAAAACCATGCCTAATTCAGTTGTGTATCTATTCCCAGTGAATGGCATACTGTGGGAGCTCAACAACAGATGGATGGATGGATGGATGGATGGATGGATGGATGGATGGATGGATGGATGGATGGGTGGATGGGTGGATGGGTAGATGGATGGATGGATGGGTGGATGGATCAATCGATGGATCAAAGAATGGACAGATGGACAGAAGGATAGGTGGACGAGTGGATGGAAGAGAGGGAGGGAGACAGGCAGGGAAAGAGAGAATATGATAAATTGATTAAGAGTATCTCCGAAAAAACCTCTCTATGTCCTCAAAGTCCACCTAGTACTGCCCTAAACATAATAGGTAACTAACTTTTGATGACCACAATGATGATATTTGTTACTATCTTGTTTTTTAAAATATTAAAGGGAAAAAAGACTCCATAGTCTTTCTAGTATCTGTCAATATGAAATGAAATACACCTGCTACATGCCAGGCTCTGAGCTGGGTGCTAAAGTGCCAAGGCGACAAGACAGACACAGCCACCACCCTCCTGGTGCTGGGATTCTGCTGAGCCAGGCACCCACTTTCCAAGCTGCAGCCTCTCTCACCCGCAAGCTCTGGATGGTCTTCTCATCTCGGTCATCATCCCGGTAGAATTTTCCCAGGACGACTTTGAGGTCGGCCGTCTTGATCACGGTGACCTTCCCCAGGTCAGTTACACAGTGGGCAGCCACCACCACGGTGCGTTCATTCACCAGGGCACCGCTGCAGACCAGGAACCACGCGTCCTTGTGCAGGCTGCCACTGTGCACCCCACTGGCCCTCCTGTAGATGGCCGCCTGCCATGGCCAGCGTGTCCCCTGGGTCTTTGGAGCAGTGATGTTCTCAGTTTTCCCACAGACTATGGAGAAAGCACCAGCTCAGTAAGATCAACCCAGACCTTCCCATCCAAAGGGGAATATACGTGACTCAAGCAAAAGAGCAGGAATCTGGAAAGCTGGGCCCCATGGGTGTAATGACCAATAAGCATCTAGCCTGTTTTTCTTTTCCCTTAAACATTAATCAACAACCTTGCCACGGTTGGCTATAAAGTCTAGGGTTAAGATTGGAGGCTTCCAATCCCAGGCACTTACTATCAATAGGACTTTGGGCAAGCTGCCTACTCTCTTAGAGACTCAGCCTTCTTGCCTGCAAAATGGATGCAGTGATCACTTGTCTCATAGGGGTCTTGAGGAGACTGGATGAGATGATGTATATAAACAATTAAACTCAAAATGTCATGACTATCATTATAAACATGACCACAGTGAATTAAGCCATAACTGTTATCATTTGACAAAGAGGATGGGCAAGGTAGCTTAGTATGTGCAAGACCCTATTCCAGACATTTCCACATATTACCTCAGTAATCATCATCATAATCTTACAGGTAGTTAATACCTCATTACCTAATTAGTAATAATTACCTGTTTAATACCACCGGAATGGTGAGCATGAAAACAAGGGTGAGGACAGGGAAACCAAGAAGACACCTTTAACTCCTTCCCCACTCGGTGTTTAATGACTGCTCTATGGTTTATCCAAGTAAATATGATAGAATTATCCACAAAAAAGTATGCCCCGCTTCCCAAAAAATTCATCTAAGATTTAACGAGTTAATTTCTCCTGGGTAATAATTTTAAGCCAAAGGAAGGAAGATCTAACTGTGGAATTTCAGACATCACCAAGCAAGGGAAAGTACTGGAAGACCATTCCTTTGGACAAGGAGCTTTTCCCAAAGTCTTCAACAAGGTTAACGGCTTTTCCTAAGCAGCCATGGAAGATGTAAAGTGCTCCAGCCTAAGGACAAGGTTTGACTCACTAGGGATGCAGGACGGGGCACGCCCACTCCACTTTCCGGTCCTCAGACACGTCCTCCGGCTGCTGCCCAGGCGACGGTAGAAGGGCGAGATGCACTCGTACTGGAGCTGGGTGTGCAGATGTTGGTACCCGCTGGGCAGGTCTCCAAAGGGAAGGGCTGGCTTCTTGGTGGGGGCGCCCTGCAGTTTCTGCTTGCTGAAGGCTGATGAGTACAGCTGGTGTAATGGTGTCTCCCTGCACGGGGACACACGGGCCCAGAGAGAGAGAGGGGGAGAGGGGGAGAGACAGTCACTGCGGTCCCTTCAGTATCCATGCCAATCCCCATGTAGATATCTGGTTACAGAAGAAAAAAGATGGCTCTCTCATTCTCTGTTTCTCTCTCTTTCTCTCTCTCTCTCACACACACACACACACACACACACACACACACTTCCCCTCTAACACTGAGCAAATCCGCTGCACACGTCAGTGTTCATTGTATTCCTCCATTTCCATTTCTGGCATGCCTCCAGCTGCCTAGGATTTTAACCAAAGAGGATAATATCTGGCATAATAGCTGCCCTCCAAAGATACACTATACACGTGCACACACACAAAACTAATTGTGAAATTAAACAGGAAAGGAAGTTAATTTGAATGAGAGAAATCCAGGCATATTTTTTTCTCTAACCATTATCATAATGGGGCAATATTAGGAATTGACTCGAACTGAACTGTGTTGATACAGTAGCTTGATTCAGCAATTAGCAGATGTAATTAGTACACCTCAGAGAATAGAACTTTCTCTCAGGGAACATTGACTGGGAGAAATATGGAGCATTGTGTGTAAACGGGAAAAGGCCTTTCAACTGAGCCCTGAAGTTGAAGCCGCCAGAGAGCCCTCGGGGATTCTTCAAGGAGATACATGCACACTGCGTAGCTTGTGTTCATTTTATATCAGTGCATACTGACCATTACCTGAAAAGTTAGAATTCCTCTAGGAATGATGTTTTCATCTCTGTTTATTGTGGAGAAAGGAAGCCCAGCGAGGAAAGTGGGAGTGCCAGAGGGCACAGGGGAAGCTGACGGTACCCAAGGCAGGGCTCACCAGTCACGATTCCCACCCTGAGGTCTCTACCGCGCCAATTTAACATCACCTCAAGAAATCTATTTCACGTGTCTGTACAGTGCTTTGCTCAGAGCATATATTTCATTCGCATTGATGTTTTCATTCAACAAATCGTTAGCTCGTGTTTAGAACCAGGTCTGCAGTTCGGGGAGCTTCTGAGCTTGAAAACAAGTTCACCTTTTGTCCACTGAAGGTCTACACTGCCTTTCAGGGTTCCCGGGTGAGCCTGGCTGCTGGCGACAGGCATAGCCCCACTCCAGCAGCCCGTCTTCCAGAAAGATCCTTAAAATCAAGTTTTAGGCTTGCTTTCTCATCCACGTGGGACACCTGGCACCTAACCTCCCACGATAATTGCTTTAAAAATGCGAAGCCCCGGGCCTGCCCCGTGGCTTAGTAGTTAAGTGCGCGCGCTCCCCTGCTGCACTGCCGCACCGCTTCTCCGGCCATGCTGAGGCCGCGTCCCACATACAGCAACTAGAAGGATGTGCAGCTATGACATACAACTATCTACTGGGGCTTTGGGGGAAAAAATAAATAAATAAAATTATAAAAAAAAAATTGCGAAGCCCAGTGGTCTTTTTCAGCAGCTCAGGGCCTCCTCTACCAGACGCCTCCTTGGGAAGAACAGGTCTGTCCCGCTTAGTGGGGAGTGCAGCCCAGGTAAAGCATAAAGACCAGAAGAGAGGGCAGAATGTGGACTCCACTGCCCTGCTCCCCAGGAAATGCCCTGCCTGGAAAGGGAAAGACAGCCTGGAAAGGGAAATGGAATGCGACAGCCAGAGTGGGTGAGAGATTGTTGAATATCCAGATTTAAGAACATTTCAGGTCACTTGATTGGGGTCAATCCTAGTCATTGGGATTCACTGTTACTATTTCTAAAAAGAATAGCTACCACGGACAGGTGTTGCATGTGCAAGGCGTTTTGCTAAGGTCTTCACATCAGGCTTAGCTAAAGCTTAGTGCATAAGGGAGCAGATCCTGGAAATTTCAGAGCCCGAAGACCCTGGATTTGCATCCTGGCTTTGCCACTTCTTCTAGCAATGTGACCTTGGGCAAGTTACTTGACTTCTCTGAGCCTCAGTTTACCCATCTGTAATAAAAACAGTAATAAAATCTATAACAAAATGGTAATAATAATAATAATTGATGATGTAAGTGGTTAAGATTTGGTGCTCTCGCTGCAGCAGCTGGGGTCCGTTTCCTGGTCAGCGACCCACACCACAGGTCTGTCTTGTCACACTGTGGCGGCTGCGTGTTGCTGTGATGCTGAAAGCTATGCCACCGGGATTTCAAATACCAACAGGGTCACCCATGGTGGACAGGTTTCAGCAGAGCTTCCAGACTAGACAGACTAGGAAGAAGGAACTGGCCACCCATTTCTGAAAAAATCGGCCATGAAAACCCTGTGAATAGCAGTGGAGCACTGTCTGATACAGCGCCGGAAGGTGAGAGGACGGTGCAAAAAGACCGGGCAGGGCTCCGCTCTGCTCTACACTGGGGCAACAGGAGGCAGAATCCACACGACGGCACTAACAACAAAATAATAATAATACCTACCTCAGATATTGTAGTGCGGATTAAATGAGCTAATACGTGGGAAGCACTCATAAGTGCAACTGGCACATAGCACTTAATAAATGGTAGCTGTCAGTATCCCATTTAATCCTCACAACAATCCCCAGAGACAGATGTTACTATGATTATCCTTACTTTTCAAAAGAGGAAACGAAAGGCTCAGCAAGTTTAGGAACTCACCCAAGAAGACCCAGCACTAAAGAGAGAGAGACAAAGCCAGGTCTTGAGACCTTGTTTGTCAATCCAATCCACTCATTCCTTCCATATTTTTCAGGTGCCCACTATGTGGCAGGCACTGTTCCAGGCAGTAGAACTTCAGCATGAACAAAACAGAAAATGCTCCCGCACTTGTAACTTTTTTTTTTTTTTGGTGTGCAGGGAGGAGACAGGAATCGAACAAATAAACAAAAAATGAATGTATGTAAGACAAGAGGTAGAGATGGATGCTAAGGTGAAAACAAGATCTCTGTAAAGGCCAGGGAGCGCTGGGGAAAGAAGTCAGCTGGGCGTCGGGGTGGAGGTGCGGGTGCTATTTTTAAAAGGAGAGTCAGGGAAGCTCTCTCTGCCAAGTAAAAACTGAGCAGAGAACTGAAGGAAGCGAGGCATTAAGCCTCATTGAACTCCAGTGGAAGCAGGTTCCAGACAGCAAAGTAGAATCGTACTTGGAGGGAGAGAGGGGAAGTGTGGTACCTGCAGCTGGAGCGGAAAGTGAGGAGGAGAATGGTGGGAGGTGAGATGAGAACAGTATCGCTACAAAGGAAGAGGAGGAGAAGGAGAAATGGGCCTCTTCTCTCCCCACTGGGTGGTCCCACCTCTGTCTTTCCAGGAGAAAGGCGGGGTGTCCCTGAGGGCTCACACCCTTCATCAGGGCTGGTCATTTGTCTCTAGTTCCTGGGCCCCACCAGCCTGCCTGATCTGGTTGGTTACTACCAAGAACATCTTCCCCAGCCATATCTGGCTGCTTTTGGTAGGAATGCCATCTCCCTAGAAGCTGCCATAATACATACAAAGTAATTTCAGGAAGATTCAAGTAGTAAAATCCAGTTCCTCAGAGATCATATTAAAGTCTTGTTTTCTGCCAACCACCTACTTTCCCACAATCCAATGACATCTGTACGTCTTCCAACAGTTGCTACCTCTTGGCTAAAGGCAGTTGGCTAACAAGCCTCCATCTAACAAGCCCGTTCTTTCATGGCCAGTCAGCACAGAGTGTCCCTAAGAAACCCCAGATTGTCTTTGGCCAAATGCGAGTAGGGAAAGGGGGTGGGAGGGGACCATTCATTCGCCTTTACAGCAGAATCCAGGTGTTTCAACCTCACCTTGACTGAACCTGCATTGGAAGAACTCTCCGTCTCACCAGGTCCGAGATCTTTGGTTCTCGGCAGGCTAGAAACAAAGAGATGATGCTGCATAATCTTTCTCCATGTTAACCGTTCACATCATTCAGTTCAGATTCACACCTGACCACCCTTTCTGGACACCAAGTACACATGCCTCCCTCTGAGGCAAGACATGTCAGCCAAGCTTGGACAGCTCCCTTAGCAAAAACGCATGCTGCCTTTCACCTAAATTGACAGCCCCCTCTGAAGAACCCAAGTAGAATAAACACCTCTGAAAAGCTGCTCCACCTGGGTGATTTGGAACAAGGGCAGCTAACAGACTAGGGTTATCTATTCACACAAATATTAGTGAACTTGATCAAAATGAGTCGAAGAGAAGGTTCTAAAATATAGCCCAACATAGGGAGTTACAAGGTTCTCATTTGAAACCAGACAGCAGTGTCAACCATCGATAAGTCTTGGGTAACGGATTCCACCATGTCCTTTCTCTGCAATGAAGGCTCCTAATAATCATTTGAAGGCAACTCAAAGCCCAGCTTGATCTTGTTGAAGTCTTTCTTTCTTCACAAGTGAAAAGGAGTCCTCCCCAACTCATTTTCCCAATCAAGCAGCCAACATTCATCTAATTAGCAACTAGGGAACATTGGTTGTATTAATTTGTAAGAGAAGAGTTGACAAAAATCTCCAAGGACATACGTAACACCATTTCCATACTTAATGAAACCAAGAATCAGAGTCTGTCCTGGTGGAGACGAAGGTCGCTGCTGGCTAAAGTCTCAAGTGATTTATTCCTTTCACAAACCATTCTCTTTCATTCCTTTTCCCATGATTTGGGTTGTTGACAAACACCCACAAGAGAAAGTGGAGGACTGAGGCAATTATCTGGATAATCTAGGCCAAGGACTGCTTTTCTTCCCAGGAAACAGCCAGATAGTTGTGACCTGCCCCCCAAATAGAGGGCCTGCTGACCTGGAGCAACTAGTGAAAAACTACACATCCCCACTGCCAAGGGGTAAGGTCCAAACTTGTCATACAATATGCCATTTCATCTGGTCCCAACCCACCTTTTTAAGTTTACCTCCCAGATTCCCAGATTGCCTCACTTTGAGTTTATGTGATTCTTTGACTTCTGCCTATACCTCTTTTCTTTTCCTTTGTCTTCCGACTAGAATATCCTCCCAACTCCTCTTCATCTCTACACATCCTTCCCAGCCTCCCAGACTGGCTCCAATCCTACTTGCTTCATGCAATGGTCCCTATTTCAGGCAATACTGATCACTCTTTTCTCTGAACATATATCACTCATCTGTTCCTATACTCTGCCTTCAATGTTCGACAGTTTACTGTCTTTTAAAGATGTTTTTAAACATCTTAACAACTCAAACCTCCCCCCACATAGGCTGGCAGTGATGATGTGTCTATTTTGTTCTTTTCTCTCTTGCCCTAACTTAATATTGCATAGAGAGTAGATAAATGAAATGATATAAATGCATGTTAATTGCTTCAACTCTGTCCTTGGGTTTGCCTATATAAAACTCTGCCCTGTCATCTCTCCTAAACTGCTCCGATAACTATACCAAAACTCCTCTTAATCAAATCAGGATGTTGTGATTAGGATAAGCAGGTCCTTTGGAAGTCCAAAAAAGAAGCAAATGTTTTTATGGAATGGTTTCCAACCTAAGAGGAATATATGGTTCCAGTGAGAACTTAAGAGAGAAAGACATTTTTCCAGAGGCTCAAAAACATATATGAGATCCACCAAAAAGTCCAGCAACTCCATCCATTTCTATAGACTTCAGAAATATTTGCAAGTTACCTTTTATGCAGATGGGCTGTTTCCCCGACCACTCTCTATTCTGCTGGCAAGTTCTCTTCTCATTGCCACTGAGAACATATGAGTTGTTACAAAAGAAAGACACTACAGTGCCAATTTTTGCATAGCGCCCATTGATAAGCCCAGGGCCTCCTGTTATTTTCTTGTACCCATTGACTGGGCCTCCAGGGTCTGAGCAGTTTCCTTCTTCAAGGACTAAAAGAGAAAATAAAAGAAAAGGAGAGCTAGTAAAAGTCTGAAGCATTCCATTTTAGAATTGAATCTTTTCGTGTTTCATTGAATTAAAAATGCAGTGATGTGGAGCCTGCTAACAATGAGGCTCAGAGGAATTCCCAAGAGAAAACTCATACTAGAAAATGCATGTATTAGACATGTCTTCCCCTTGTTTTAGTAATTTATTCTTAAATTGAGAAGCATTTCATTCCATATATAAATAAATGTGACACCACCACTGGCTCTCATACGATCGTGTTCATTTCTTTTTCAATCTGTGGGGGCTGGGCAGGCCTGGACAAAATAAACATTTCACCTAGATTTTTTGACCAGTACACAAGGGTTATTGCTTTTCAGTGTTGCTGCATTATCTCCTTTGTTCCCTAAAGCTTGGGCAATTAAACTAGACTATTTCCTGTTTGTGTTGTACCCAGAAAGTAGAACTGATTAAAAACAAGAGTGCATATATGAAATGAATTTAGGTTTTATATTTCATCTTCAGGAACATCAATATGTTGCAAGTTATAGTTTAAAAATACTAGAGGACAATATAATTCAGAGATACAACAGATTTCCCTTGATCTCTAAATCGAACTTTCCATCTAAACACTTAACGATATTCATTACAGAGGTACATCTATTCTCTAACTCACGTTGGACAGCTACCTAAAGCAGACAGAGCGTCACCAGCTGTTCTGCGCGCTGAGCAGGGTGTTAGATATATCCTGGAAATATTCTATCAGACTGATAACATATTTTTCTCAAATGGATTATGGCACAATACTGAATATTACTTGCCTAAGGACACAGAGTAAGTCCCCTGAAGAATTCAACCTTTAATTACTGAGTTTGGGTACCAATCACTTTACCAGCCTTCCTATTCTCTTTTTAATCATTTCTTCTAAGACACAGCCTCATCCCCATAAAACAGTCCCCATGAAATGCAATTTTGCATTTGACATGCTTTTCTTCCCATAACTGTCCCAATTATCTTTTAAGCAACTTCCTTGCCTCCAGGCAAGAAAAGAATCTCCATTCGGATTACACTTCTAAAATATTTGAGAACTAAAAATTAATAATTTTCCTGTGTGCAATTTGGCAAGGCTGCTAATATTAGCCTAGTTACTGGTTTGTCTAGTCTAAGATTGCCCACAGACCATGTGGCAGATGATCTCAATGATACTCTGTGTGCCTCTGGGCTATGTAATATGAGCAAATTCCCCAGTGAGTGACTCCAAAACGCCACTTGAAATGTCAAAAAGGGATCTCACTGAGTGAGCTATTTAAAAACACTGAGATGGTATAGGGAGGGCAATGTACTTTTTGAAGCCTCAGTGCTTATGTTTCCAGGAACGCCTCTATGATGTGGGAGGAAGAGGCAGAGAAGGCATTCCATATTGCTTCAGTGATGGCTACCCTCTTATAGTGCAGATTCATTCAATTCTGAACATGCAGAAGCAACTGACGGGAGCCCACACTGCAATCATCTCAAAAGCATGCTGTGTTGTACCTGTAAGTTTTAGAAAATGAAATTAGTTGCCAACATAAAAATCAGGAGTTTTCTCAGAAAAGTCCGTATGACTGGCACCTGACAAAATTCAGATCTGGAAACCCTGGGCCTGTATTCCCACATAGCAACAATCAACTGTGTTGAGAGTGGCTCTGCTTAGACAGGGGCTGCATTCTTCACACGGCCATAGCCCCGCCAGCTGCCTGGCCCCAGCAGGCACTTGAATCTGTGGCCTGTTAGCCTAACGAAGGGCTAAGATTTGTGTAATGCAAGTGCAGCTTCTCATCCATTTTGAGCTTTGCCTGCTAGAGCACATGGTCAAGAAAGATGGGCTGTTACTTAAGACCAGCCCTGGGATATTGAACGAAAATCAACTCTAGTCTATCCACATCAGCCTCAGCAGAAGAGATCATTTCTACTATAAGCCTGATATCAAGCTGGGTTTTTCTCCCCTCGGAAGCAAGTACTTCCACGGTCCACTGGGTTCCTCCCCATGATTTCCTTTGTGCAGGATCTCATGCACCCTATTTCTGTTACAGTTAATGTGGGTTTAGCTAGCAGGAACTCTGGAGAGTTCTCCAGCCCTCATAAGTTACAAACCTTAGGACAACTTTGTTTCTCTCACTGAGGAGGCTTTAAAAGAAGACTTAGGAGAAACTGACTGAGGAGATCCAAAAAGTCTGCCCAAGACTGAGGAGTTCTGCCATATTTCTATAATTCTTAGACGCACACTCTTTCATAACGTGGTATGTCTGAAATCAGGTCACACTTACTTTTCAGGTAGTATTTCTTTACTCCCAAGCCCCAGAAAAGCAATAATTAAATCAACGGTGCACCTTCAACTTGATGAGAACTTAGAGTGGAGAACCATTATTTGGTTTTAAGTTATTGCCCAGGAAATGTCACCAGGATAGAGCTGAGGAATGCTTCCAAGTTAGGGTCCAACGGAAGGAAAGACTATTTGGCTAAAATACAAGAGAAATGCAGACAAGAGAAACAGATTTATGAAGGATCCAGATAATGTAGTTGTCTGACACTACTTAAAAATAACTATACTGAATATGTTCAAGGAAATAAAAGACAAAATTGAGAACTTCAGTAGAAAACTGGAAATCTTAAAAAATAACCAAAGGAGAAATCTAAAATTGAAAAGTTATAATGACAGAAATTTAAAACTCAGTGGATGAGTTTAATAGCAAATCAGATACAGTTTAAGAGTATTAATAAACTGAAAGATAAAAGAAAAAATTCAGAATGAAGCCCAAGAAACAAGAAGGTGAAAATGTACAGAAAAATGTAAAGGATTCTGAGGATACATGTAATTGACATCCCAGGAGGAGAAGAGAGAGAATGGAGCAAAAACAATATGTAGAGAGATAACAGCTGAAAATTTCCAAAACTGATGAAGACATCAACCTAGAGATTCGCAGAGTCCCAAGCCAGATAAATATAAAGAAAACCACACATAGGCATTAATATAATATATAAAACTGTTAAAAACCAAAACCAAAGAAAAACATTTTAAGCAGCCCAAGGGGGAAAAAAAGGACTGGAAAAACATACTTTAAAATAATTATAGTCATTATCTCTGGCTTGTAACACTAAGAATGATTTTTGCTTCTTTATACTTTTTTTTCAAGTTTTATAATCAGGAAATATAACCATAAAAGTTTGTTATTTTTGTTGTTTCTGTATTTTTTTGTTTTTTTTTTTTGTTTGTTTACAGCTTCAGCGCACAGTTGTGTATCGTAGTTGTTAGCTTTTAGTTCTCTACGTGAGCCGCCACCACAGTATGACAACTGACAGAAAGGTGGTGTGGTTCCATGACTGGGAAAAGAACCTGGGCCACGGCGGTGAGAGCGCCGAATCTTAACCACTAGACCACCAGGGCTGGCCCAGTTATTATTATTTTTTAAAACATCAGGCAAAATGGTCTGGGTCCTCCCTGCTAAGCCTATAAACTAATATTAAGTTTTCCATGCCTTTTTTGTGTTCCCATACTCTCCCCATCCCATGCAAATCTCTTTATCATCTTGCATAGTCATGAGTAATCCAACTTTCCATGAACTCAGATTTAAATGAGTTTAATCACTAGACTCTGGTGAAGAAAGAATGGCCTCCAGGATTACACAGACATAGGTTCAAATAATCATTTAGTTCCCCAGCGTCCAGAATAAGCATACAGTAGGCATTCAACAAATACTTGGTGGATGGAAGGGATAACAGGTGAAATTTACTCATTCTGCCACTTAATGAACTAAGGCCTGGGAAAATCACGTAATCTCTCCAAGCTTTGCTTTTCTCATCTGTAAAATGGCATAACAACACTTTTCAGGGTGAGCTGGTTTGAGGAGTCATTTAAATAACAATTTCTTTTTCCCTTGTTTGCCTTTATTTATAAAGCACCCAACTGTCTTTAAAAATCAATTCTCCAAATTCATACACCTTAAAGAAAAACCCGCAAAGAAATCTAAAGTCTCATTATTGGGCCTATTTGAGTATAAGGCAATATTCCACTCTATTTTCTGGCCTCTTGGTAATGTCTACGCATGATGGGCTTCCAGAGCTGGGTCCAGGGTGTTGATTCAGAATTCTGGATACCAACCATCATCTCTGTACATTCACCTTTCAATCCTGCACGATGAAGCCTTAAAATTGTCTTCCTACATCAAACATCCACTGGGCATTGTTCTCTCTTCCCTTTCATTTACTTCCTGTACTTTCCAAAGCTGTACACTCTCCTATGATGCTTTTGAAGAGAATCCTAAGACTCACCCATCCGTGATTTCTCTCTCGGTTTAGACATCTACGTGTTGGGCTCATAGTCCATCTACATCTCATCAGAGCATCTCCCCAGGGTTAGATTTCAAAACTCTCTCTTTTTGTTCCCCTAGGTGTTCTTGTTTTAGAAAGCTTCGTATCTCCCCATTGAACAGACTGATGATTCTTTTCTATTTGATTTTCCAAAGGCTTTGGGTTTCATTTCTCCTCAGCGGGATGGATGTTTTCACACAAAGCCAAATGAGAATTTAAAACATCTGCATCTCTGGCCTGCAGAAGCATCAAACTCCTGCTTTGCTAAGTAAAGTATTCCATGATTAATAACAAATAGCACATTGCCCTGTTACTTTTGGGACTCAGCCTGGGGACATAAGCACGCTATGTTTAGCATGCCCTTACATGCTATTTCACGAACAAAAACAGTACAGGGTTCATTGCTCTGGGATATTGTTTCAGATAAACACTTAACGAAAGGCCTTCTCTCCCCTTGTCTTCCTTTTCCTCAGGACAACAGTATGAAGTGGTTCTGATACCACTTTACAGAAGGATATGTGATGGCTCTTGTAGTGAACACTATTGGTGCCCCACCCAGGGCCCCTCACATCCTGTTACCTGTTCAACTTCTATATGTGTGACTTGCTGCTGAGAGCTGGCACCTGCCACTTTCACAGGGCTACCCTTGGGCATGGGC